GCAAACCACTACTTGTAACAATGATGCTACTTCCCTACTGGTAAACCACTACTTGTAACAATGATACTACTTCCCTAGAGGCAAACCACTACTTGTAACAATGATGCTACTTCCCTACTGGTAAACCACTACTTGTAACAATGATACTACTTCCCTACTTGCAAACCACTACTTGTAACAATGATGCTACTTCCCTACTGGTAAACCACTACTTGTAACAATGATGCTACTTCCCTACTGGTAAACCACTACTTGTAACAATGATACTACTTCCCTACTGGTAAACCACTGCTTGTAACAATGATGCTTCTTCCCTACTTGCAAACCACTACTTGTAACAATGATGCTACTTCCCTACTGGTAAACCACTACTTGTAACAATGATACTACTTCCCTAGAGGCAAACCACTACTTGTAACAATGATGCTACTTCCCTACTGGTAAACCACTACTTGTAACAATGATACTACTTCCCTAGAGGCAAACCACTACTTGTAACAATGATGCTACTTCCCTACTGGTAAACCACTACTTGTAACAATGATGCTACTTCCCTACTGGTAAACCACTACTTGTAACAATGATACTACTTCCCTAGAGGCAAACCACTACTTGTAACAATGATGCTACTTCCCTAGAGGCAAACCACTACTTGTAACAATGATACTACTTCCCTAGAGGCAAACCACTACTTGTAACAATGATACTACTTCCCTACTGGTAAACCACTGCTTGTAACAATGATACTACTTCCCTAGAGGCAAACCACTACTTGTAACAATGATACTACTTCCCTACTGGTAAACCACTACTTGTAACAATGATGCTTCTTCCCTACTTGCAAACCACTACTTGTAACAATGATGCTACTTCCCTACTGGTAAACCACTACTTGTAACAATGATACTACTTCCCTAGAGGCAAACCACTACTTGTAACAATGATGCTACTTCCCTACTGGTAAACCACTACTTGTTACAATGATACTACTTCCCTAGAGGCAAACCACTACTTGTAACAATGATACTACTTCCCTACTGGTAAACCACTGCTTGTAACAATGATACTACTTCCCTAGAGGCAAACCACTACTTGTAACAATGATACTACTTCCCTACTGGTAAACCACTGCTTGTAACAATGATACTACTTCCCTAGAGGCAAACCACTACTTGTAACAATGATGCTACTTCCCTACTGGTAAACCACTACTTGTAACAATGATGCTTCTTCCCTACTTGCAAACCACTACTTGTAACAATGATGCTACTTCCCTACTGGTAAACCACTACTTGTAACAATGATACTACTTCCCTAGAGGCAAACCACTACTTGTAACAATGATGCTACTTCCCTACTGGCAAACCACTACTTGTAACAATGATACTACTTCCCTACAGGCAAACCACTACTTGTAACAATGATACTACTTCCCTACTGGTAAACCACTACTTGTAACAATGATGCTACTTCCCTACTGGTAAACCACTACTTGTAACAATGATGCTACTTCCCTACTGGTAAACCACTACTTGTAACAATGATGCTACTTCCCTACTGGCAAACCACTACTTGTAACAATGATGCTACTTCCCTACTGGTAAACCACTACTTGTAACAATGATACTACTTCCCTACTGGTAAACCACTACTTGTAACAATGATGCTACTTCCCTACTGGTAAACCACTACTTGTAACAATGATACTACTTCACTACAGGCAAACCACTTTTTGTAACAATGATGCTACTTCCCTACTGGTAAACCACTACTTGTAACAATGATACTACTTTCCTAGAGGCAAACCACTACTTGTAACAATGATGCTACTTCCCTAGAGGCAAACCACTACTTGTAACAATGATACTACTTCCCTACAGGCAAACCACTTTTTGTAACAATGATGCTACTTCCCTAGAGGCAAACCACTACTTGTAACAATGATACTACTTCCCTAGAGGCAAACCACTACTTGTAACACTGATACTACTTCCCTAGAGGCAAACCACTACTTGTAACAATGATGCTACTTCCCTAGAGGCAAACCACTACTTGTAACACTGATACTACTTCCCTACTTGCAAACCACTACTTGTAACAATGATACTACTTCCCTACTAGCAAACCACTACTTGTAACAATGATACTACTTCCCTAGTGGTAAACCACTACTTGTAACAATAATACTACTTCCCTACTGGTAAACCACTACTTGTAACAATGATACTACTTCCCTACAGGCAAACCACTACTTGTAACAATGATACTACTTCCCTACTAGCAAACCACTACTTGTAACAATGATACTACTTCCCTACTGGTAAACCACTACTTGTAACAATGATACTACTTCCCTAGAGGCAAACCACTACTTGTAACAATGATACTACTTCCCTAGAGGCAAACCACTACTTGTAACAATGATACTACTTCCCTAGAGGCAAACCACTACTTGTAACAATGATACTATTTCCCTAGAGGCAAACCACTACTTGTAACAATAATACTACTTCCCTAGAGGCAAACCACTACTTGTAACAATGATACTATTTCCCTAGAGGCAAACCACTACTTGTAACAATGATGCTACTTCCCTAGAGGCAAACCACTACTTGTAACAATGATACTATTTCCCTAGAGGCGAACCACTACTTGTAACAATGATACTACTTCCCTAGAGGCAAACCACTACTTGTAACAATGATACTACTTCCCTAGAGGCAAACCACTACTTGTAACAATGATACTACTTCCCTAGAGGCAAACCACTACTTGTAACAATGATACTATTTCCCTAGAGGCAAACCACTACTTGTAACAATAATACTACTTCCCTAGAGGCAAACCACTACTTGTAACAATGATACTATTTCCCTAGAGGCAAACCACTACTTGTAACAATGATGCTACTTCCCTAGAGGCAAACCACTACTTGTAACAATGATACTATTTCCCTAGAGGCGAACCACTACTTGTAACAATGATGCTACTTCCCTAGAGGCAAACCACTACTTGTAACAATGATACTATTTCCCTAGAGGCAAACCACTACTTGTAACAATGATACTATTTCCCTAGAGGCAAACCACTACTTGTAACAATGATACTATTTCCCTAGAGGCAAACCACTACTTGTAACAATGATACTATTTCCCTAGAGGCAAACCACTACTTGTAACAATGATGCTACTTCCCTACTGGTAAACCACTACTTGTAACAATGATACTATTTCCCTAGAGGCAAACCACTACTTGTAACAATGATACTATTTCCCTAGAGGCAAACCACTACTTGTAACAATGATACTATTTCCCTAGAGGCAAACCACTACTTGTAACAATGATACTACTTCCCTACTGGCAAACCACTACTTGTAACAATGATGCTACTTCCCTACTGGCAAACCACTACTTGTAACAATGATACTATTTCCCTAGAGGCAAACCACTACTTGTAACAATAATACTACTTCCCTACTAGCAAACCACTACTTGTAACAATGATACTACTTCCCTACTGGCAAACCACTACTTGTAACAATAATACTACTTCCCTACTGGCAAACCACTACTTGTAACAATGATACTACTTCCCTACTGGCAAACCACTACTTGTAACAATAATACTACTTCCCTACTGGCAAACCACTACTTGTAACAATGATACTACTTCCCTACTGGCAAACCACTACTTGTAACAATAATACTACTTCCCTACTAGCAAACCACTGCTTGTAACAATAATACTACTTCCCTACTAGCAAACCACTACTTGTAACAATGATACTACTTCCCTACTGGCAAACCACTACTTGTAACAATGATACTACTTCCCTACTGGCAAACCACTACTTGTAACAATGATACTACTTCCCTACTGGCAAACCACTACTTGTAACAATAATACTACTTCCCTACTAGCAAACCACTGCTTGTAACAATAATACTACTTCCCTACTGGCAAACCACTACTTGTAACAATAATACTACTTCCCTACAGGCAAACCACTGCTTGTAACAATAATACTACTTCCCTACTAGCAAACCACTACTTGTAACAATAATACTACTTCCCTACAGGCAAACCACTACTTGTAACAATAATACTACTTCCCTACTGGCAAACCACTACTTGTAACAATAATACTACTTCCCTACTAGCAAACCACTGCTTGTAACAATAATACTACTTCCCTACTGGCAAACCACTACTTGTAACAATAATACTACTTCCCTACAGGCAAACCACTGCTTGTAACAATAATACTACTTCCCTACTAGCAAACCACTACTTGTAACAATGATACTTTTTCCCTACAGGCAAACCACTGCTTGTAACAATAATACTACCTCCCTACTAGCAAACCACTACTTGTAACAATGATACTGTTTCCCTACAGGCAAACCACTGCTTGTAACAATAATACTACCTCCCTACTAGCAAACCACTACTTGTAACAATGATACTACTTCCCTACTGGCAAACCACTACTTGTAACAATGATACTGTTTCCCCACAGGCAAACCACTGCTTGTAACAATAATACTACTTCCCTACTTGCAAACCACTACTTGTAACAATGATACTGTTTCCCTACAGGCAAACCACTGCTTGTAACAATAATACTACTTCCCTACTAGCAAACCACTACTTGTAACAATGATACTGTTTCCCTACAGGCAAACCACTGCTTGTAACAATAATACTACCTCCCTACTAGCAAACCACTACTTGTAACAATGATACTGTTTCCCTACAGGCAAACCACTGCTTGTAACAATAATACTACTTCCCTACTAGCAAACCACTACTTGTTACAATGATACTGTTTCCCTACAGGCAAACCACTGCTTGTAACAATAATACTACTTCCCTACTAGCAAACCACTACTTGTAACAATGATACTGTTTCCCTACAGGCAAACCACTGCTTGTAACAATAATACTACTTCCCAACTAGCAAACCACTACTTGTAACACTGATACTGTTTCCCTACAGGCAAACCACTACTACAAGCTGTTCATCACATGGACCAGTCAGAAAATCAAAAAGACCTTTGTTCAGAGGAACATGTTTGAGTTCAAACACATCAAGGTAGTTGCTCTGAAAACCATGTTGATTCAGGGTAAGAACTGGTCTCAAACAACTGATGCATAAAAGGCGACTTAATGGATCTTGTGGTCAGGCTCAGTGACTTGTTTGATGGTGGCGTGGATCGTTGCTGGTTATATTAATCACTAGATTATTTACAGACCGCCGTCATATTGCTGAAATATTGCTGAATATGGCATTAAACAACAAACACACATGCACACATAAATGACTTGCAGCCATGTTTGTCGCCATGGTGACACATTGGAAAAGCCCAACGTAAGCATATTGCAAACGTAAGTCAATAATTTATTGGACCCGTGAAGATCCGGAGTAGAATAGGTCTTCAGCAACCTATGCTTGCCGTAAAAGGCGACTATGCTTGTCGTAAGAGGCGACTAACGGGATCGGGTGGTCAGGCTGGCTGACTTGGTTGAAACATGTCATCGATCCCAATTGCGTTGATTGATGCTCATGATGTCAGTCACTGGATTGTCTGGTCCAGACTCGATTATTTACAGACCGCCGTCATATAGCTGGAATGAGGCTGAGTGCAGCATTAAACAACAAACAAACAATAATTTATTGAGAAAGAAGGAATGGCATTAATATATGGAGCTTGAAAGTAGTTCCTCATTTGCATATACATCGGATCATTATGTGTCAAGTTTATTGGATTAGTTTATTGCGTTGATAACACAAGCCTTTATATGATAAAAGGTCATTGTATCTATGCTGTCCTCCGCATTATATGCGGGTTGCGGGTAGCCTAGTGGTTAAAGCGTTCACTCGTCATGCCGAAGACCCGGGTTCGATTCTCGACATGGGTACAATGTGTGAAGCCCATTTCTGGTGTCCCCCCGCCGTGATATTGCTGGAATATTGCTAAAAACGACGTTAAACCATACTCACTCACTCACTCACTCACTCACTCACTCACTACCCATTATTTGCAGCCATTTGACAGATCGTACATCGAGAACCCGGGGCCGATGGTGGTGTTTGCCACTCCAGGGATGCTTCATGCCGGTCTCTCTCTGCAGGTCTTCAAGAAGTGGGCGCCAAATGAAAACAATATGGTAGGATTTTACTGCATGTAATCATGACAATTCAGTAAAATTTGTTAACTCAAAGACCTTGGAAACATAAACATATCTACTTTATTTTACACCAGTAAAATGTCGATATTAGTGCCACCACCATGCTGAGAAAGATCTTGCCTGAAAGATAGATTAACAGTCTTAAATGATCTTTAAAATTAATGGTTTCAGTGTATTTATTTCATTTTTATATTGTTATTCATTTGGTTTGGACTATTTAAGATTGATTCCATCCAAATATTGGCATGTGAATCACACCTCATGTTGTGTTAGTAAGGATTCTGCTGTTGTTTCCAGGTGATCATTAAGCTGTCTGTTGTTTCCAGGTGATCATTAAGCTGTGTGTTGTTTCCCAGGTGATGATAAAGCTGTGTGTAGTTTCCCAGGTGATGATAAAGCTGTCTGTTGTTTCCCAGGTGATGATAAAGCTGTCTGTTGTTTCCCAGGTGATCATAAAGCTGTCTGTTGTTTCCCAGGTGATGATAAAGCTGTCTGTTGTTTCCCAGGTGATCATAAAGCTGTGTGTTGTTTCCCAGGTGATCATAAAGCTGTCTGTTGTTTCCCAGGTGATCATAAAGCTGTCTGTAGTTTCCCAGGTGACCATACAGCTGTCTTGTCTTTACACAGGTGATCATGACAGGGTATTGTGTGGTGGTTGTTTCCTAGGTGACCATACAGCTGTCTTGTCTTTACACAGGTGACCATACAGCTGTCTTGTCTTTACACAGGTGATCATGCCAGGGTATTGTGTGGTGGTTGTTTCCCAGGTGATCATACAGCTGTCTTGTCTTTACACAGGTGATCATGCCAGGGTATTGTGTGGCGGTTGTTTCCCAGGTGATCATACAGCTGTCTTGTCTTTACACAGGTGACCATACAGCTGTCTTGTCTTTACACAGGTGATCATGACAGGGTATTGTGTGGTGGTTGTTTCCTAGGTGACCATACAGCTGTCTTGTCTTTACACAGGTGACCATACAGCTGTCTTGTCTTTACACAGGTGATCATGACAGGGTATTGTGTGGTGGTTGTTTCCCAGGTGATCATAAAGCTGTCTGTTGTTTCCCAGGTGACCATACAGCTGTCTTGTCTTTACACAGGTGATCATGCCAGGGTATTGTGTGGCAGGGACTGTGGGACATAAAATCCTCAACGGAGTTCGGAGGATAGAGATGGAAAATAAACAGATGGTAGGTTGAGACACATATTGGTGGTCGTTGTGCCACCCCAGTTTCATATACTGAACAAAAAAAATTAGGGGTAATGGATATTTTTGTTGGCTGTTTTTTTTGTACCTGCAAATAATGGAAGGGATTTCATCCTGATGTGTTTTTTTTGGTAGTTTTGTTTGGATTGACATGATTTTACCGTATCAGATATATATAACAATTTTACCTATTTAGTCATTTGGTTCACTGTGATTGTTTGTTGGTTTGTTGTTTAACACCATACTTAGCACAATTCCAGCTTTATAACAGTGGCCTGTAAGTAATCAAGTCTGTACCAGTGATAGATATTATGAGCAACAATCAATGCATTTGGGGTACTTTGACACACTATCAACCAAGTCCAAACACTCAAAACCATTAAGACATCTTTTATGACCAAAATAGGTTTCTGCCGACCACTTTTTACCTGGAGTCCCCGTGGATGCTTAACGATGAAGCCAAAGTTATGTTGTAGGAATAGCATCAAATGAGAGCATATAAGATAATCAAAAGAATTCATATTCATGGAAAGTACTTTGTTTTGTAAATTAACATTTACAGCGGAAGTAATACCCTTTATTTCCTACGAGGGCAAACATATCAGGGTTCATGAAAATCATATGTGCCCTAGGGTCATATCACGTCACGAGACGACAGTGTATTGTTTCCGTCATCCGGACGGCATTGTTGACGTCATTCGAATAACTCGAAACAATGTCATTGCTGAAGATTGTTGACGTCACTCGACAAATTGTGGTTCCGCTGCTGTTGCGACTTGCTCTCCTCACAGGTAAACACTAAAATTTGTCTCTGTATGTAGACATCTTCGGTAATACATGTAGATAGAACATTACATTTGTGTTCATGTCATACTATGTTTACAACACTCGTGCCTAAATTCGTAAACAAAGTATGACATGAACACGAATCTAATATCCTCTATGTGTGTAGACTAATAAACTATAAAGATCCGGGTTAGAATAGGTCTTCAGCAACAATACGCCCAGACTTGATTATTTCCAGGTCTCCGTCATATTACTTAAATATTGTTGAGTGTGGCAGTAAACAACAAACAAACAATCTCATCAATCATAGTGTCAGCCACTGAATCACCTGGTCCAGACTGCAGTGAACTGCTACGATAATGCTGAACTTTGGTTTAAAACAATCTCACAAATCAGGTGCAGTTAGGCACATGTAGTACATGTGGTCTCTCCTTCAGCGAGTTACTTTGTTCGAAATGTGCGAAATGGTAGGATGAGATGGCAATGTGACTGTTAACCTTCTTGCACCTCACGGGCAGCTTGGGTTGTATTCTCCCCAGGAAGCTGAAAATGTAAATTGAGTGCACACAGATCCGTCGACCGAAGTAATAATTCTCTGTGTGCTTTGAGCATCATATCCAGTATAGAAAAGCTCCATACAAATAGGTTATTATTATTATTATTATTATTATTATTATTATTATTATTAAATAGCATTTTTCATCATCATCATCATCATCATTATTATTACTATCATCATTACAAAGTAGCATTCAGGCAATCAGGTCTCTTGTGTAATACTGTGTACCTGTTTCTCACAGATTGATGTGCGCATGTCGGTGCAGTACATGTCGTTCAGTGCGCACGCCGATGCTAAGGGCATTATGCAGCTGATCTCTCAGTGCGAGCCCAGGAATGTCATGCTTGTCCACGGAGAGGCTGCTAAGATGGAGTTTCTGAAGAAGAAAATAAGGCAGGAGTTTGGTACGTAATATCATCATGACCATCATTGTCATCACACCCATACACTCTGCTGGTCAGGCTGTATCGATGTCATGACCACATGTATAATGTGCGGTTACTTGGTTGACTAGGTCTTCAGCAACCCATGCTTGCCGTAAAAGGCGACTGTGCTTGTCGTAAAAGGTGACTAACGGGATCGGGTGGTCAGGCTCACTGACTTGGTTGATGCATGCCATCGATCCCAATTGCGTGGATCGATGCTCATGAGATTAATCACTGGATTGTCTGGTCAAGACACGATTATTTTATCGCTCATAATTAGCCTCTGTTACCTCTGGTCCAGGCTTGACTGGGCCATCTCGGGACGGCATGGGTACTATTGTTGCATGTCTGGGTACACAGGTGGCCCACTTGTCTGAGGCAGCGCAATTCGCTGTGCAGAGTTGTGTCCCTTGGGCACGCCAGAATCCTGTGGTCATGGGTTCGAATCCTGGTTCACCCGATTATGATGCTAGGTTCTCGGCACCATATTGTGCACACGGGTTTCGGCAAAGATTAAACATCTGAGACTTACCCATCTTAAAGAGATCCTCCAAAAATTAAGCTCACACACCATGATATAACTGGAACACTGTTCAAAGAGGCGTTAACCCCACTCACTCGCGAATGCGTGGTTGGGGTTCACGTGTCATAATAAACAGTTGATTTTGGTATGATTATAGTCACTGTCACAGCCTGTTTATTGCAGACATCGGCTGTTTCAACCCAGCCAATGGGGAGACTGTGAATATAGACACGCAACACAACATCCCCGTCGACATTGCTCTCAACCTGCTGAAGAGAGAAGCCTCATTCACAGGTAATCAGCGGATGTTTCTGAATATGTTTTATGTTCCTGTGGGGATTTTGGGTTAGAATTGGTCTCCAGCAACCTATGGTGGTCGTTAGAGGCGATCAAATGGATTGAGTGGTCAGACTCTTGGTTGATGGCTAGTCATCGTACCCTGGTGGTGTAGATCAATGTTCATGATGTCAATCACTGGTCCAGACTTGATTATTTACAGGCCACCATAAAAAAGCTGGAATATTGCAGAGAACGGTATTGTCATGAAATTTTATACATCAAAATGCAATCCATGATTAGAAATAGTTTCCGACAAACTTTTGGGGTACAGGTTTTCAAACTTTGGTCTGTAGACAAGTTCAACTGATCTGGCATAAGGATATACATAATTAGCACTTAGGTCACAACAAATTAAATGTTAGATTTTCATCCCATTATATAAAATATGTAAGGCAGAAAGGCATTATTTTTCATATTGTTTTATTTAAACAAACTGTTCAAGGTATATCTGAATATTTACTGTTGATGGGTGTGAGTCACATGAAGCTTAAATGTTTGGTGGGACAGCATTATTGTGTATTTCATCAGATAAAGAAATGGTTGCCTTACTTTGGTTCCTGGCGATCTAGGGCGGTTGGGTAGCTTAGTGGTTAAAGCGTTCGCTCATCACGCCGAAGACCCGGGTTCGATTCCCGACATGGGTACAATGTGTGAAGCCCATTTCTGGTGTCCCCCGCCGTGATATTGCTGGAATATTGCTAAAAGCGGCGTAAAGCCATACTCACTCACTCACTCACTCCTGGCGATCTAAAACCGAAGTTTCCTTGTGTCATTGGTGATAGTTAATGTTTTTAATATTCTCTCACCTGTTTAGAATGTACTTCTGTGATATGTCACTGGTTGTTTTACTGTTCTTTGTTGACATTATTTTATTTTTATATAAATGCTGTTGTGAGAATATAATTATGACATGAATCTGTTAGTTCTTTGCACAGAATGGGTTAAATGTGTTCAAAGAATAATAATCTTTAAATAGAATTACGATAATGACAAGTATCTTTCGTAAATAACTTTTCTATTTTAACAGCCATGACTACACAGAAAAGGCACCCCCTTTGGCCTCTCTGTTCTTGTTGGGAGCGGTCGGGTAGCCTAGTGGTTAAAGTGTTCGCTCGTCACAGTGAAGACCCGGGTTCGATTCCCGGGCACAATGTGTGAAGCCCATTTCTGGTGTCCCCCGCCGCGATATTGCTGAAATATTGCTAAAAGCGGCGTAAAACCATACTCACTCACTGCCTCTATGTTCTTGTCGCGCAACTACTAAACAAAGATCTGAGGACATCCCACTGCAGGGCAATGTCAGATCGAACTTTCATCCGACCAGTTGGAGCACAGCTTACCAGATCCGGGAACTGACAGTTGGAATGTGTTTTCTAATTATGCAACCTCGAAAAGATTAATATGGGGTATTCCGAACGACAGTTAAGAGCTGCATGAATTATTCTGTCAAAATCATGTTGTCTCTCTCGCTTCATCAGGATAAACGTTTGAAATGGGCGAGACTTTCCATGGCCCGCAATAAATACTGCCCACAGTTTTGAAGTGTAGTCTGGAATGGAAGTCGCCAGTTTGAAACTTGTGTCATAAAAAGCTGCTTTCTGAGTAGCTAATGTCTTCTTATTGTTAGTCATTTCATTGGTTGGTCAGAGTTTGCAAAAAGTTTTGATGTATACCTGTAGTGAGTGAGTGAGTATGGTTTTGAAGCCCATTTCTGGTGTCCCCGCCGTGATATTGCTGTAATATTGCTAAAAGCGGCGAAAAAGAATACTCACTCACTTACTTAGGATTTGGTCTATGTATACAAGCATGAGTATACAGATTATTTTTTAGGGTATAGAGATTTTTGGTCCAAAAATTCAGGTTGGTAGGTTGAAGAAATATAAAAACAAAAAAATATTTTATTATTTTCATTTCTTCAAAATGTTCTGTAGGTAGGAAAAAAATGGGGCCGTGGAAGTTTTTAAGATCCAATTTCAACAGGTTTTAGGCATAGTATTTTAAATATTTTTTTTATTGATAGCAACAATAACTGTGTTTTGTTTTTTTTCAACATTTTACTTAACGGCAAAATCAATAAAACACACTGCTTTACATGTATTTTTTAACATTTCTGTCGGCGATTATAACGGATGCTCTGTTTTTAGAGATCATTTAAGAGGTGAGGTGAGGTGAAATTGGGTTTAACGTCGCGTCCAAGATTATTGCACTTATATAGCGACGTGCATGCACGTGTATGTGTGTGTGTGGCTGCTTGTACTAGTCCGGACTGATGCCGATTTATAGTGCTAGCTCACTGAGATACCATGCCGCAGTTTAACATGAATACCCCACTCAGACACAGTATACTGACTCCGAGCCGACCAGTCCTTGTTTTAGCCCCTTAATGCCGAGCGCCAGACAGGGTAACAACAAGTACAATCTTTTAACGTCTTTTTGTATGACGCGGCCCGGGATCGAACCCTGGACCTTCCGCTCTCCGGGCGGACGCTCTACCACAAGACCACGGAGGCGGTCTGATCATTTAAGAACACCAGTAATAAAGTCAATTTGATATGCATATTATTCCAAATTGATCAGTTGTAGCAGATTCCATGCATGGTATATCTGGGAGTTCTGCTCTTTGGTGAATCATTTGCACTCGACCCATAAAGATCCGGGGTAGAATAGGTCTTCAGCAACCCAAAAGGCGATTATGCTTGTTGTAAGAGGCAACTAATGGGATCGGGTGGTCAGAATTGGTGAATTGCATGTCATCGAATCCCGAATGCATGGATCGATGATGTCAATTAATCACTATATTGTCAGGTCCAGACTTGATTATTTACAGACCGCCGTCATATAGCTAGAATATTGCTGAGTGTGACGTTAAACAACAAATAAACAAACATTTTGCACTCTCATGGAGTCTGAAAATCAAATGTACCTTGTTCAGGCTAGTTACTATTTATTTTCTCCTCTGACTTAAGCCGAATCCGTGATAAAACAAGTTACAAAATAATGGCAGCCATTTTTGACATCTTACAATGGTTAATGCTTGGGGCAAGAATCATTTTGAGACAGGTTTGGTGGCGCATGGCCCTGTGTACAGTGCACAGGTCACAGATCAGTGGAAGTAAAACACCATTGGTCGTTAAGATAAGATGAAAGGGTGACTGATCGGCAGATTGACTCCTGAGAGTTTCGAGCGGTCGGGTAGCCTAGTGGTTAAAGCGTTCGCTTGTCACGCCAAAGACCCAGGTTCGATTCACATGGGTACAACGTGTGAAGCCCATTTCTGGTGTCCCCCACTGTGATATTGCTGGAATATTGCTAAAAGCAGCGTAATATCAAACTCACTCACTCACTCATGAGAGTTTCTTTGTTCACCTGCAGTGAATGGGTACCCGGTAGGCTGAGATGTTAATGTGACTAAACCTTCTCGTGCCTTTCAAGGGAGATGAAAGTAAAAATCAAGTGCACATTTATGGGGGTGATTATGTAGCACTTTGGGCATGCTTTAGGATGTGGATTTGGCGCATTATGAATATTCATGTTATGAGGATAAAACTGTGTTGTTGATCAGACAATGTCTTTTCCAGGTTCCGACCCTCATGATCCGAAACAGCCCCGAACCCTGCATGGAGCTCTGATGATGAAAGGCAATGTAAGTGATGCAGGTTTCTGTGATCATCAGAGGGTGGAAGGTCAGTGGTTAGATCACCTTGACGCGTCCTACCATAAGACATTGTAAAATGGTACTTCTTGTTACCCTGCCTGATGCTCGTCATTTGGGGGAGCGCTCACAGTCAGGACACTGTCAAGGTACTGGCACCTGTTATGACATGGCACCAACCAAGCACCTGTTGGTATATGGCACCAACCAAGCACCTGTTATGACATAACCCCAACCAAGTACCTGTTAGTATATGGTCCCAACCAAGCACCTGTTATGACATAACCCCAACCAAGTACCTGTTATGATATGACCTCAACCAAGGACCTGTTATGATATAACTCCAACCAAGTACCTGTTATGATATGACCTCAACCAAGCACCTGTTATGACATGGTCCCAACCAAGCACCTGTTATGATATGGCACCAACCAAGCACCTGATAGTATATGGTCCCAACCAAGCACCTGTTATGATATAACCTCAACCAAGCACCTGTTATGTCATGGCCCCAACCAAGCACCTGTTATGACATAACCCCAACCAAGCACCTGTTAGTATATGGTCCCAACCGAGCACCTGTTAGTATATGGCACCAACCAAGCACCTGTTATGACATGGCCCCAACCAAGCACCTGTTAGTATATGGCACCAACCAAGCACCTGTTATGACATGGCCCCCCCAAGCAAGCACCTATTATGACAAGGCCCTCAGCAAGCACCTGTTATGATATAACCCCAAGCAAGCACCTGTTACGACACAACATCAACCAAACACCTGCTCAGACACATTGCCTCAAGAACACCTGGTGTTTCAGAAGCTGCAGCTGGTGGAGCCTGCACAGGCGTTCCGGGAGCTGGGCCTGGAGGAACATCAGCTCCGGTTCACATGCACTGTATCTGTTGATGAAGGGGGAACCGTCATGCAAACTGTGGACAAGATTTATAATCTCTTGAAGAGGTAGGCAAAGGAATGTCATATCTTTAAATATGTGTTAAATTCAACACAAAGTTCTAATTGTTTTTCTGATGCTTTTTTGAATTAATGTATGTTAGGAGGGGTAAGATTGGTCTTAGGACTGTATCATATTTTGCCGATCCCTTCCTTTTTTTTATGTCACTGCCTCCATTCCTCTCCCCCTCCCCTAAAATAAATGACTATGTCAGAATTTGCTGATTTGGGTTTTAAATCCAAGACTTAAATATGATCCTTGGTTTGCTTGTGTGTATGCTGTTTAACACCAGACTCAACAAAGCTCCAGCTATGTGACAGTGGTCTGTAAATATTCCAGTGATTGACATCATGAGCATCGATCAATGCAATTGGGATAAGATAGCATACATCAACAAAAGCAGCGAAACCTACCACCCAATCCTGTTAGTCGCCTCATACGACAAGCCTAGGTTGCAGAAGACCATTCTAACCCGGTTCTTCACGAGGGCTTAGTTTTGAGCATCATACTTGTGGGATTAGCAATCACATTGCTTTGGACTTTCTTTACACATGAAGCTGACATATCAGGACTTTCAGACATGTAGTTATACCGTATTCGATGTAATAAGCGCCCCGCTCTTATGAGTGCCCACAGCGATATTTGCTAATATATTTGCTAGTGAACAATCCCAATTAGCACCCCATCCGATTGATCAATGTACACAAGACTTATTTATTCGTGTATCATACACACTTATGTGTTACATGCACCCTTAATTATGGGCAATTAAATTCTGGAAAAAAATATCTGTAGTATATAAACATTTCAGGCTGTCAGCATAAACCATGAAATTTATCTTTCAACTCTGTTTTTTTCACCAAAATAATATTCCAATAAGAGCTCTCTATTTCTAATTTTGAGAGCGCCCTGGCCCCTGGGCGCTTATTACGTCGAATACGGTATATTGATGTGTTGGTGTGTTGCAGTGATCTGAAGGACTCTTCCATTCAATACTCCAGTGATGGCTCCATCACCATCCAAGAGTCTGTGCTTATCAAGGTGTCAGGGGATGAGGAGACAAAGGACATGCTGGTGTCCTGGTCACATCAGGTAAACACATGCTGGTGTCTGTCACATCAGGTAAACACATGCTGGTGTCCTGGTCACATCAGGTAAACACATGCTGGTGTCTGTCACATCAGGTAAACACATGCTGGTGTCCTGGTCACATCAGGTAAACACATGCTGGTGTCCTGGTCACATCAGGTAAACACATGTTGGTGTCTGTTACATCAGGTAAACACATGCTGGTGTCCTGGTCACATCAGGTAAACACATGCTGGTGTCCTGGACACATCAGGTAAACACATGCTGGTGTCTGTCACATCAGGTAAACACATGCTGGTGTCCTGGTCACATCAGATAAACACATGCTGGTGTCCTGGTCACATAAGGTAAACACAAATACTGATGTCCTGGTCACATCAGGTAAACACATGCTGGTGTCCTGGTCACATCAGGTAAACACATGCTGGTGTCCTGGTCACATCAGGTAAACACATGCTGTAGTCCTGGTCACATCAGGTAAACACATGCTGATGTCCTGGTCACATCAGGTAAACACATGCTGGTGTCTGTTACATCAGGTAAACACATGCTGGTGTCTGTCACATCAGGTAAACACATGCTGGTGTCTGTCACATCAGGTAAACACATGCTGGTGTCTGTCACATCAGGTAAACACATGCTGGTGTCCTGGTCACATCAGGTAAACACATGCTGGTGTCCTGGTCACATCAGATAAACACATGCTGTTGTCCTGGTCACATCAGGTAAACACAAATACTGGTGTCCTGGTCACATCAGGTAAACACATGCTGGTGTCCTGGTCACATCAGGTAAACACATGCTGGTGTCCTGGTCACATCAGGTAAACACATGCTGTAGTCCTGGTCACATCAGGTAAACACATGCTGATGTCCTGGTCACATCAGGTAAACACATGCTGGTGTCTGTTACATCAGGTAAACACATGCTGGTGTCCGTCACATCAGGTAAACACATGCTGGTGTCTGTCACATGAGGTAAACACATGTTGGTGTCCTGGACACATCAGGTAAACACATGCTGGTGTCCTGGTCACATCAGGTAAACACATGCTGGTGTCCTGGTCACATCAGATAAACACATGCTGGTGTCCTGGTCACATAAGGTAAACACAAATACTGGTGACCTGGTCACATCAGATAAACAAATGCTGGCGTCCTGGTCACATCAGGTAAACACATGCTCGTGTCCTGGTCACATCAGGTAAACACAGGCTGGTGTCCTGGTCACATCAGGTAAACACATGCTGTAGTCCTGGTCACATCAGGTAAACACATGTTGGTGTCCGTCACATCAGGTAAACACATGTTGGTGTCTGTTTCATCAGGTAAACACATGCTGATGTCCTGGTCACATCAGGTAAACACATGCTGATGTCCTGGTCACATCAGGTAAACACATGCTGGTGTCTGTTACATCAGGTAAACACATGCTGGTGTCCGTCACTTCAGGTAAACACATGTTGGTGTCTGTTTCATCAGGTAAACACATGTTGGTGTCTGTTACATCAGGTAAACACATGTTGGTATCTGTCACATCAGGTAAACACATGTTGGTGTCCGTTACATCAGGTAAACACATGTTGGTGTCTGTTACATCAGGTAAACACATGTTGGTGTCTGTTACATCAGGTAAACACATGTTGGTGTTTGTTACATCAGGTAAACACATGCTGGTGTCCTGGTCACATCAGGTAAACACATGCTGGTGTCCTGGTCACATCAGGTAAACACATGCTGGTGTCTGTTACATCAGGTAAACACATGCTGGTGTCCGTCACATCAGGTAAACACATGCTGGTGTCCTGGTCACATCAGGTAAACACATGTTGACGTCTGTTACATCAGGTAAACACATGTTGGTGTCTGTCACATCAGGTAAACACATGTTGGTGTCCGTTACATCAGGTAAACACATGTTGGTGTCTGTTACATCAGGTAAACACATGCTGGTCTCTGTCACATCAGGTAAACACATGTTGGTGTCCATTACATCAGGTAAACACATGTTGGTGTCTGTTACATCAGGTAAACACATGTTGGTGTCTGTCACATCAGGTAAACACATGCTGATGTCCTGGTCACATCAGATAAACACATGCTGGTGTCCTGGTCACATAAGGTAAACACAAATACTGATGTCCTGGTCACATCAGGTAAACACATGCTGGTGTCCTGGTCACATCAGGTAAACACATGCTGGTGTCCTGGTCACATCAGGTAAACACATGCTGTAGTCCTGGTCACATCAGGTAAACACATGCTGATGTCCTGGTCACATCAGGTAAACACATGCTGGTGTCTGTTACATCAGGTAAACACATGCTGGTGTCTGTCACATCAGGTAAACACATGCTGGTGTCTGTCACATCAGGTAAACACATGCTGGTGTCTGTCACATCAGGTAAACACATGCTGGTGTCCTGGTCACATCAGGTAAACACATGCTGGTGTCCTGGTCACATCAGATAAACACATGCTGGTGTCCTGGTCACATCAGGTAAACACAAATACTGGTGTCCTGGTCACATCAGGTAAACACATGCTGGTGTCCTGGTCACATCAGGTAAACACATGCTGGTGTCCTGGTCACATCAGGTAAACACATGCTGTAGTCCTGGTCACATCAGGTAAACACATGCTGATGTCCTGGTCACATCAGGTAAACACATGCTGGTGTCTGTTACATCAGGTAAACACATGCTGGTGTCCGTCACATCAGGTAAACACATGCTGGTGTCTGTCACATGAGGTAAACACATGTTGGTGTCCTGGACACATCAGGTAAACACATGCTGGTGTCCTGGTCACATCAGGTAAACACATGCTGGTGTCCTGGTCACATCAGATAAACACATGCTGGTGTCCTGGTCACATAAGGTAAACACAAATACTGGTGACCTGGTCACATCAGATAAACAAATGCTGGCGTCCTGGTCACATCAGGTAAACACATGCTCGTGTCCTGGTCACATCAGGTAAACGCAGGCTGGTGTCCTGGTCACATCAGGTAAACACATGCTGTAGTCCTGGTCACATCAGGTAAACACATGTTGGTGTCCGTCACATCAGGTAAACACATGTTGGTGTCTGTTTCATCAGGTAAACACATGCTGATGTCCTGGTCACATCAGGTAAACACATGCTGATGTCCTGGTCACATCAGGTAAACACATGCTGGTGTCTGTTACATCAGGTAAACACATGCTGGTGTCCGTCACTTCAGGTAAACACATGTTGGTGTCTGTTTCATCAGGTAAACACATGTTGGTGTCTGTTACATCAGGTAAACACATGTTGGTATCTGTCACATCAGGTAAACACATGTTGGTGTCCGTTACATCAGGTAAACACATGTTGGTGTCTGTTACATCAGGTAAACACATGTTGGTGTCTGTTACATCAGGTAAACACATGTTGGTGTTTGTTACATCAGGTAAACACATGCTGGTGTCCTGGTCACATCAGGTAAACACATGCTGGTGTCCTGGTCACATCAGGTAAACACATGCTGGTGTCTGTTACATCAGGTAAACACATGCTGGTGTCCGTCACATCAGGTAAACACATGCTGGTGTCCTGGTCACATCAGGTAAACACATGTTGACGTCTGTTACATCAGGTAAACACATGTTGGTGTCTGTCACATCAGGTAAACACATGTTGGTGTCCGTTACATCAGGTAAACACATGTTGGTGTCTGTTACATCAGGTAAACACATGTTGGTGTCTGTTACATCAGGTAAACACATGTTGGTGTTTGTCACATCAGGTAAACACATGTTGGTGTCTGTTACATCAGGTAAACACATGCTGGTCTCTGTCACATCAGGTAAACACATGTTGGTGTCCATTACATCAGGTAAACACATGTTGGTGTCTGTTACATCAGGTTAACACATGTTGGTGTCTGTCACATCAGGTAAACACATGCTGGTGTTTGTTACATCAGGTAAACACATGCTGGTGTCCTGGTCACATCAGGTAAACACATGTTGGTGTCCTGGTCACATCAGGTAAACACATGCTGGTGTCTGTTACATCAGGTAAACACATGCTGGTGTCCGTCACATCAGGTAAACACATGTTGGTGTCCTGGTCACATCAGGTAAACACATGCTGGTGTCTGTTACATCAGGTAAACACATGTTGGTGTCTGTTACATCAGGTAAACACATGTTGGTGTCCTGGTCACATCAGGTAAACACATGTTGGTGTCTGTCACATCAGGTTAACACATGCTGGTGTCTGTTACATCAGGTAAACACATGTTGGTGTCTGTTACATCAGGTAAACACATGTTGGTGTCTGTTACATCAGGTAAACACATGCTGGTGTCTGTCACATCAGGTAAACACATGCTGGTGTCTGTCACATCAGGTTAACACATGCTGGTGTCCATCACTTCAGGCAAACACATGTTGGTGTCTGTAAACACAGGCTGGTGTCTGTTACATCAGGTTAACACATGCTGGTGTCTGTTACATCAGGTTAACACATGTTGGTGTCTGTTACATCAGGTAAACACATGTTGGTGTCTGTTACATCAGGTAAACACATGTTGGTGTCTGTTACATCAGGTAAACACATGTTGGTTTCTGTTACATTGGTTAAACACTTTTTTCACGACCCTCCCTGAAAAGACAAAATGCAAAATAATATTAAATATCCCTTTTTTTCATGAACTTCACCAAATATGTGTATTAGTTTTTATAACCATCCCTGAGAGACTGTCAGATGTTTTGGAGCCTCCCCTGATTGACTATAAGTGTTATTCACTGCAGAATGTGACAGTCAGATCTGTGGTGTGGGCTGGGTGCTTTTCAGCTTAGTTGAAATAAACGTTTTTAGACTTCACATAAGGCCAATAGATCAGGTCTGGTTGCTCGTGTCAGCTTCATTATTTGTGTGATGGTAGTGCCAGCCGTTGTTTGTCAGTAACTACTCTTTTGTCGTGTTTCCAGCAATGAATTCCAGCAGCCATTTATTAATGTAGCACGCATCTGAAAAAGTGGGTGTTGCTCAATTAATGCTTATGTGTATATATAAGTAAGACTCGGCATAAATTCCATTAAAAAAATCCCTATAAATATCATGGTCACTTATTTATTTTGTTCAGTATATTCCTGCCAAACCATGAGATGTGTAGCTTTAAGTGACAATGTACTCTTCCTTTTGCAGGATGAAGAATTGGGGAGTTACTTACTACAGACACTACGTACAACATTTGTGACGACATGAAACAAGGGGGACAACTCTTGAGATTATGAAAATGATTATGATAAGAAACATACCTGGACAAGCTGAGAGGAGACAGTTGGAAGACATCTGCTGGCATCTCACCCAGCACAGTTAACTGTTGTCAGCGGTTCACCAGGATAACAAATATGATGACGAGTTGCTGTTTGTAATGAGCTGTCTTCAACAAGACATTCTTAATAACCAGCTGCTGCTCGTCACATGGAACTTACTTCTGAGTTTTTATGAGTGCTTCTAGAAAAACTATTTTTGCACTCGGAGCTTGTGACTCTTGACAGCTGGGGTTATTTCGAGGGCTTGACAGTATTTATCTGCGGCTTGGCTTCATTGTCTTCGTACCTATTTATCCCGGGTTCCTATAAGTTGAAAGAAATTATGTGTGTCCAAAACTGGGAGAAAAAGCAAAAAAAGCAACAGGCTCCCCTGGTGTTCAAATGGTTAGTCAGGGGACAGAAACTTTCAAAGAAAAAGCATGCGTTTTCAATGAAGATCATGTTGCTAATGGGGCGGTCGGGTAGCCTTGTGGTTAAAGCATTCGCTCGTCTCGCCGAAGACCCGGGTTCGATTCCCAACATGGGTACAATGTGTGAAGCCCATTTCTGGTGTCCCCCGCCGTGATATTGCTGAAATATTGCTAAAAGCGGCGTAAAACCATACTCACTCACTCATGTTTCTAATGTCAGGTTTCTCAATATAGGAGCTGAAAACAAGAATTGCAGAGGTTATTTTGAATGAAAAGCAGGTTTTGTATGCTTCTGTGAATGAAAAATAAAATAAATAGTTTGTAATTTGAGAAAAACACAGCCATCGAAAATTAAACCTTATTTTTTCATATTTTTGCCTTTGTCTTTTTTATGTTGTGTCAAAATTACGACGCCTGTATGGTGCTATCGACTTACAAGCAGCCTTTTCACGGAGTACAATTATTGAGAAACAGGTCATCTTGGCACCAATCTCATTCAAATCAGATCTAAGTTCTCGCTGCCGCCAAACAAAGATCTGAGGACATCCCCTACGGGTCAAGTCAGAACGTCCTTTCGCGAACTTTGACCGACCACGGAAATGACTAACAAGAAGTCGACATCAGCCAATTAGAAAGCAGCTTTACGGCACTCGTTTCAATCTGGCGACTTCTATTTCAGACTACTCTTCAAAAATGTACGGACACAGTTCTAGATTAAAAATTTGAAAACTGAACAAACGAACATTCCGGAATGTCTAATATATGGTTGAGATTGTATGGCAATGCCTCCCCCGTTCAAATGTTTATCCCACGGAAGCAAGAGATAGACGATAATTTTGACGGAATCACTCGTAACTGTCGTTCGGAATACCCCGTGTTAACTTTTTCGAGGTTGCATGATTAGTAAACACATTCCGAATGTCACTTTCTTGATCTGGTAAGCGACACTTTGATTGGTCGGATAAAAGGTCGCTTTGACGTGACCTGTAATTGGATGTCCTCAGATCTTTGTTTAGCGATAGCGAGAACTAAGATCTGATTTTTATGAGATTGTCTTGGCACGAATAGGAATGTATATGCTTTGAGGACTGTCTCGTGGTGTAGTGGATAGGGCGTCTGCCCAGAGAATAGGCCGGTGTAGCCTGGCCACATCATACAAAAGACTTAATGTTACTTTGCTTGGCATTTAGCGTTAAGGGATAACTGGTCGGCTCGGGGTCTGTATACTGTGTCTGTGTGGGGTATCCATGTTAAGTGTCTCAGAGGGCTGGCACCATAAAACTAGCAAAAGTTCAGTCTATGTTGCTACACAGACGTTCATGCAAAATATGTCCAATACCGTATTCGACGTAATAAGCACCCAGGGCGCTCTCAAAATTAGAAATAGGGGGCTCTTATTAGAATAATATGTTGTCGAAAAAACAGAGTTGAAAGATAAATTCCGTGGTTTATGCTGACAGCCTGAAATGTTTATATATGAGAGATATATTTTTCAAGAATTTAATTGCCCATAATTAGGGGTGCATATAACACACGTGTGCGTATTATACGCGAATCAATAAGTATTGTGTACATTGATCAATCAGAAAGGGTGCTAATTGGGATTGTTCACGATCCAACATATTAGCAAATATGGCCGTGGGCGCTTATTACGTCGAATACGGTAATCTTGAATGCAATCATTTTGAAGTTCACCTCAGCTCAAATTTTATGAACCTTCTGTTTTTCATGCTGAGCAACAAGTGACCTTGTGTTGTGGCATGTTGTCTGTCATCCATCATGGCGGCCATATTGAAATGTCCATTTTGCCCATTACTCTGTCCTTTCTGCATTTATCATTATGAAATTGCGTCCCTTGGGCACGCCAGAAACCTATGATTGTGGGTTCGAATCCCGGTTCGCCCCGATTATGTTTCTAGCTTTGTCGGCACCATACCCGTGCTCGTGGGTTTCACCGAAGTGGTAAACGTCTGAGACCTGCATCACTTCGGGCTTTCCTCCCACATTAAGCTGACACGCCGTGATATAACTGGAATAATGTTAAAAGCGGCGTTAAACCCAACTCACTCACTCATTATGAAATTTGATATGCCGGAAGTATGTAGTATACAGGATTACATATAATACGTTTTTTGGCACATTTTGATATTTTCGGATCAAGAAATGGTTATCTAATGTTACAGCATTTTTGACATCTCTGAAACACCACGGCCTGTGAAGCTTAAACTTAGCATGAATGACCCAGTTATATGTTGTCTCTAGAAATACCCCACAGTATTCTGTTCCAATTTTACTTATGGGCAGCTAAAGTTCTTCACAGTTCAGGGGGCGGTTGGGTAGCCTTGTGGTTAAAGGGTTCGCTCATGCCGAAGACCCGGGTTCGATTCCCGACATGGGTACAATGTGTGAAGCCAATTTCTCGTGTCCCCTGGTGTCTGGTGATAGTGCTTGAATATTGCTAAAAGCGGCGTAAAACCATACTCACTCACTCATAGTTCAGGTGATCTTCAGAGCCTTGTAGCCTCTCTTTGTTCTCTATTTTACCCAAATACTTAACAGATAACTAATACTAAAATGCTTTTAACATTTTATTGTTATAACCATTTTGGCCGGCCTGTCTTGTTCTTACCATATTGGCTGGCCTGTCTCGCTAAAACCATATTGGCTGGCCTGTCTCGCTAAAACCATATTGGCTGGCCTGTCTTGCTAAAGCCATATTGGCGGGCCTGTCTTGCCAAAACCATATGGGCCAGCCTGTCTTGCCAAAACCATATGGGCCAGCCAGTCTTGCCAAAACCATATGGACAGGCCTGTCTTGTAAAAACCATATTGGCCGGCCTGTCTTGTTATAACCATATTGGCTGGCCTGTCTTGTTATAACCATATTGGCTGGCCTGTCTTGTTATAACCATATTGGCCGGCCTGTCTTGTTATAACCATATTGGCTGGCCTGTCTTGTTATAACCATATTGGCCGGCCTGTCTTGTTATAACCATATGGATGGCCTGTCTTGTTATAACCATATTGGCTGGCCTGTCTTGTTATAACCATATTGGCCGGCCTGTCTTGTTATAACCATATTGGCTGGCCTGTCTTGTTATAACCATATTGGCTGGCCTGTCTTGTTATAACCATATTGGCCGGCCTGTCTTGTTATAACCATATGGATGGCCTGTCTTGTTATAACCATTTTGGCCGGCCTGTCTTGTTATAACCATATGGATGGCCTGTCTCGCTAAAACCATATTGGCTGGCCTGTCTTGTTATAATCATATGGATGGCCTGTCTTGTTATAATCATGTTGGCTGGCCTGTCTCGCTAAAACCATATTGGCTGGCCTGTCTTGTTATAATCATATGGATGGCCTGTCTTGTTATAATCATGTTGGCTGGCCTGTCTCGCTAAAACCATATTGGCCGGCCTGTCTTGTTATAATCATATGGATGGCCTGTCTTGTTATAACCATATTGGCCGGCCTGTCTTGTTATAATCATATGGATGGCCTGTCTTGTTATAACCATTTTGGCCGGCCTGTCTTGTTATAACCATATGGATGGCCTGTCTCGCTAAAACCATATAGGCTGGCCTGTCTCGCTAAAACCCTAATTAACAAATGTCCGGATGGATGAATAGTATGCGTCCTGTTCGTTATGCAGAGGTTCTTGGACACAGTGCCATGTCCGTTATGTAGAGGTCGTTTGATACAGGGTCATGTTCGTTGTACAGAGGTTGTAAGATACAGGGTCATGCCCGTTATGTAGAGGTCGTCGGATACAGGGCCATGTCCGTTATACAGAGGTTGTTAGATACAGGGTCATGTCCGTTGTACAGAGGTTCTCGGATACAGTATCATGTCCGCAGGCCCTCGAGGTTTAACTGTTGAAACCAATGAGAGCGGGGATGGCCCTAACAAACCAAGAACTATAATCAGAGCGAATCTGGGACCCACGATCGGGGCAAGACTATTGGCGACGAAACTGCGACCACTTGACCATCCGTGCCCTAACCATGTATAACATCTGATATTTAAAATAATTGATATATGTTGATGCAGCTGTACCGCTTTAAAGTTAGATTTCAATTTAGGAGCATGTCAACAGATCAGTGATATACAACGACCCCCTCTATGCACACACGTCCAAACACGACATGTTTTGCATTATGCTATAATCCCGTGTGTCAGGTAAATCATTTTGTCATTCTTGTTTGAAGATCTCTGATCTCTTAAACTGCACGAGACTTTCGTTTTCAGTGTTGGCCAATCAAAAGGACGGCTGCTGAAATAAATACAATCTTCAGATTTGGTTCTGCCAGCCTCAATGACTTGAGTGAGCCAGTGTGAGTTTCGTTCAAAGCAGTTGCATGTCTGGTTACCCCGCATAGGTCGAAACAACGATACGTCTTTTTTAAAGAAAGTTCCATCTGCTTACTTCTGAATGTTTCTTTTATATTATATTTGAATTTTGAATCAATAATAATATGTAAAACTAGATGAACTTAAGAACTGTATGAACTGAAAAATCATTTGAAGTAGATACAAATGCATTGCATGACATTTTAAACTCTTTGATTAAAAAAAATAATAACAATTGAACTTTGGAATTAAGGAATTAAGAAGCATATGGAAACATATGTACAACTATGCTTTGTAATTTTATTAAACTCTTTCATTTATAAAATAATAGTTCAACTATGTGATTATGAGTGATGGTTTCCAAAAAGATATCTCTGAGGGCAGTACGAATCAGTCAGGACAATGGAGTTGTAAATGTGTGTTCCTTGTATATCTAATTACGTTCGTTTGATAATTGTGATTACATTGTTAATTTTTTCCAACATTTTAACAAATGTTCCAATAGTTTAATCGACATATAGATGGTCACGTTTGCTTCTAGGCGTCAGGAAATAAATACTTACATTTTTATGCAAATTGTGCAATAGGGCAGGACATGCTTTCCCTTTTCGCGAATACCTGGTGGAATTGCTGGTTTTCAGTGGGCCATTCATTTCGTTTTCACAGCCGTTTCGCTCTTTACGTCGCAAATGAAATCTATTTCGGCTGATATTAAGACTGTTATTCTCTTGCAGTGATGTTTGATATTTAACCACTAGCATGTATTCATGTCTGTTATGATATCACCAGTGCCCATTCAATACACGCATGCTTCTACAAGTCATTATATTAGAAAGTATTTATTAAGCACACTATCAAATGTAGCAATTCTGCTCAAGGCGTGTAAGACAACGTGACCAAACAGATTCTTCAGTGACAGGAACACGCAAATGCATCTGTGACACATTAGAAGTAGGTCACATTGACATTACTCACTCTCTCACCCACTCTCCAACCCACTCAACCACTCACTCTACC